TATACATATACATATACGTACATGCATGCATACATACATACGTAGACATACAGACACATACTATCTATATATGTATGTATGTGTATATTAGTAATGGTGGTAGTAGTAGTCGCAGTAGTCGTAGTAGTCGTAGTAGTCGTAGCAGTCGTAGTAGTAGTAGTAGTAGTAGTAGTTGTTGTTGTTGTTGTTATTACATTAGTAGCAATGGTGGTGGTGGTGGTGGTACATACATGTAACTTACTGTAACATTACATCCAGGTGTGTTAAGATGCCACTGATGTGACTGATGTATGTCTCGTGGGCATGCTTGTGAAATCGAGTGTCTACGTGGGGAATGGCTGGTTTGGACGTGCTGTGATGCCACTGATGAGTGTCTTGTGCTTGCGCTTGTGAAGTGAGTGTCTCCATGGGGTTTGACTGGTGTTGATGTCATTGGTGTTGCTCCAAGAAGCCGTGCTCGATACGTGAACCACGGTTGCAGCCAAAGGATCAAAATTCGGAATGTGGATCTCGAGTGCTTTTCGAGACCCAGGGCATCGATTCATGGGACGAGAAATGACGAGAAAAGGGAGCGTCTATTTGGCGATTCGGTGCCAAAATATGATCTGGAATACAATGAAAAGTACTTGAAACCCCAGCGTCCGCAGCATATCCTGAAAATTCAGCCGCGACTAGGAGACTAAAAACAGCGTCTACCTGCGGATTAGCATCTGACGATGTGTACTCTTGCCGCTGAAGTGTAATTCCTTGAAACAGCGTCCACACTCGGGTGATGTGTATTCTCGCGGACTGATGTGAGATACACCCTACGCCTGTACATACAACAGACATACATGCAAGCATACATACATACACAGGACGAGATGCTTCACTTTGAGCACCGTTCTCTTGTAGATCGGTGCGAAGGACGCCCATTTGCACGGTGCTATCACCGCAGCTGATGTTCGAATGCTGCGATTGTGCACCACGAACAAGCCTTGCTGTTCAACAAACGTCTGTCCCGCCGTTAGTTTCGCATGCGGGGGTCCACCAGCCCTAGGACGGAAAAAGGCTGAGGGAGTGAAAAAAAAGTTGTAGCTTGCCGAAGTTTCCAGATGTCGGAAGTGGCATCATCTGAGGCTTTCTCAGCTGGACGCTGCATTGGAGAGCGCGCGAAGGACTTTGGTCTATCCATTCACGACTTGAAGCTCCCTTGCTACAGAGCCCGAGACAGATTGATTACAGGATCTGATCGACAAAGCGGAGCTTGTGCTGTCCGGTGCGTGTAGTTCAGCAGTCAGCCGCGGCGGGTCAGCGAGGCAGACATAGGCAGACATGAGCTCGTTTTTGATTGGTCCAAAACAGCTCGTGGACTGCGGAGTCGCCAAATGTGACATGCACAAAGACAGCAAGGACGTTTGGAGCCAAGCGAAGTGCCGTAGGGGCGCTGCGTCGTTTGCATATTCAGCATCACGAAGCTTTTAGCAGCATCTCGAGCCAGCACACATGCGACCATGGGGCAAGGTGCTGCACACGTGCAGGCCCAGCATTGTGCAGCGGGAATACCACGGCTGGGTTTATGGCAACGATAGGGCTTCAAAACAGGGGTGTGGAGACAGGAAGCAAACCCTCCAAATAACGACAGCACTCTTCAGGCAGATGCGCCCAGAGAGGACAGGCCAGCCCGGATTTTGCAGAGCCACACCTTGCTCGCAGTGGTCCCCACTCATGACAGCAAGAGACCCCGAATCCCAGGATTTCGGATCGAAGTTCTGCTTGGCCCCATCGTGTGCGTTCTATTCGATCCTTTGCAGGTGTGGATTTTCTGCGGAGGAGTATGCTCGATTGAAAAAGACGCTTCGCATCACCGATGCGTCTTGAGCTTACTGAGAGGGTCCAGAGCTCAAGGCCAGCAGCTGCCGAAATGAATGGCAGGCCAACACTTTGACAAAAATTCACAATCGCACTTGTGTGCCCCCCTTATCTGAGGCAGCCTGTCAGAGTGGAGCTTGCTGACTTCGCTTCGCTCTCAGACGTGCAACTTGCTCCCGGCTGTGGCAGGAAGTGAGCACTGTTTGCGTGCTGTCACTTCCGAGGTGGCATGCTTCCCCAGCCATTTGCGCATGGAAGCCTGGAAATGGCCCATCAAGTGGAGCTTAAGTGAAGTTCGTTCTGCATTGAGGCTCGTTCGTGCAGCCGCTTTTCTTCTACTTGAGCAAGGATGAGTCTTCCAGCTATATCCAAACATTTGCTACTCTGCTCCCAATCGGAGACATGTATGCCACGAAACTCCGCAGAGGAGCAAGTGGGCGAGGGATCTGCTGAGTGGACCCTTGCCTTCAGCTGAAGAGAGTCTGAGTATTTACTGTTGACTGGCGCTGGGCAATGCTGGGCATGGCGTCACCGTAATCCACACGGCAAACCAAAAGGCTTTCCCCTGCGCCCTCAGGAAGTCTCTGGTAACTGGTCTATCAAAAGCTACAAGTGCAACAGGTCTGAGCTGGTGTGACCCCCGATTGTTTTGCAGCAAAGCCCCGACTGTGTGTCCTGCATGTGTCACCTCGTGTCACCGGCTTAGGAGTCACCTACTTCAGGCTCGCAGCAGCGAAGTGCGTGAGTTGAGGTTCCGAGTCGGCGACAAGTTCGCCTTGAATCGACCAGGTATGGTCCGAGACACACCTGGCACAGGAGGACCCGGATAGCAAGAGTAGCAGCCAGATCCTGCAGGAATCCGCAAGGTGCCACATGCTGTTGCCCTCCTTGCAAGGAACCCGCTGGAGCCGAACCAGTTTCTGTCAGTGACCCCGGAAGGTGTCATGAGTCTCAGGATGGAAAAGTTGAGTTTTGATATGTTTTAACTACTTCAGGTACGGGTGAGCAAGAGCCGAGGGCCCATGGCTCTCGCATGCGAACGGCCTTGCACCGCCCGGTGCTCCCTGCACTTCAGGCTGAGCCTGTTCCTGGAGCTGGCCCTAACTCTGCAGCACTGCCACTATTGAAAGAAGACTTATGCCTCAAGCGGCAGGTAGCAGTAGCGGGCAGCGGCTGTACCAGGAGTAGTGATCGTCGGCGTCACCGTGGTGGTGGCGGTGGCAGTAGTTTTCGTCGTCGTTGTAGTAGTCGTCGTCGTCGTCGTTGTTGTTGTTGCCGTAATTGCGGTTGTGGCTGTGGTGGTGGTGGTGGTTTTGGTGGTGGTGGTGGTGGCGGTGGCGGTGGCGGTGGCGGTGGTGGTGGTGGTGGTTCTGGGAGTAGGAGTAGAAGCAAGAGCAGCAGCAATAGCAGCGGCAGCAGTGGATGGGTATTCCATGGTATTCCGTTTCGTCACAGCATTTCACTTAATGGTTTCGTTGTTGCAGGCGTTGCTGCTAACGGCACAGGGCCCCCAAGACTCCTTTCTACACAAGCGTGCTGGAGCCAAACGCTTCCACCCGACTCTGACCACGACAAACGCTACCTTAGAGTGTGTTGCCCCAGCAAAACACGGCCTTAATATTATTAAGGGGGCTCCAGTGCTGGGGACTTTCGAATCGCATCCTTTTCAGGGGACTGACAGGGCTTCTGCCGTGCTGTTCGGATGAGCGAGATGCCTGTTCACCAAGCGTCTATAAACCAGTGACAAGCAAGCCAGGTGCTTCTGGTTTTCCTTTGCAGAGAGATCACCTGACGAGCAGGATGCCGCCTTCAGCCCATGCTGATGCGACCCTCATTGGTGTGAGTCAACGCATGTGCACGTGACACTGCCAGGAGGCTGTCAGTCCCGATGCGATGGCAAGGACCCCGACAAGCGGTTGTGCTGTAGCGGGATGATGAAGATTTGCTCGGAAAGAGCCCAGCTTGCAGAATTGCTTCAGCACAGCGGAGGGTCGCTTTGTCCACACATTTTCGCAGCGCTTTGTTGTTCGTATTTCAAGTGCAAGAGCCGGAAATAGCCGCAAGAATGCCAGAGGTGGCTGCTGTCACTGCCGGAGCTGAGATGACGACCCTCGAGGCTTTGGCCCAGTGGCTTCAAGGCGGCTTGGGGTATCGCTTGCAGCTATCCGGCATTTCAAGGAAGCGGCAGAGTCGCCGATGCGGGACATATGCCCAGCAGTGAAAAAGCTGACCTGGCGAGGAAATCTTCCAATGCTGCCGAGGGCTGTTGCGGCGAATTTGGGGCACACTTTGGTGGGCTGTGCAGCTTCTGCCTCAGAAATGGAACCTGCACGGCGGACACAGTGCGTGGCGCTCCGCTGCGAACAGGCTTTGCCGCCCATTCCCACACTGGAGAGCCGTGTCGTGTCTGCCCCTTGACCAATCTGGGCGCTAGGAGGATCTTTAATTTGGGCTTATCGTTCCGTTTGTGTTGCAAGCCTGGCACCTGTCAGGCGGGACTGCACCTGTTCAGATCTCAGGATCTACAGAATCCGAGATCCTTTCTACCCATGGCCCTAAACCCAGGTTGCTGCGGGGCTCCGATGCTCGACTTTGGGAGCCTTGAGCCTGGATTCTTGCAGCTGAGCTTCCTCTGTTTGTAGCTGGCAGAGGTCCGAGGAGTGGCAGCCGTTGTACCGCGACTGGTGCGACGGTCTGTCCTTCAATGCTCTGATCAAGGCAGTGCTGCTTTGCACTGCCCCTCTTCCAGATAAGCTCATTGCCATGTCTTCAGGGCGCTGCCTTCTACGAAGGGCCCGCCTTGGTCCTGATCCGAACGCCTGACTCGGTGCTCGGAGCCCTATCAACGTGGGCCCCCCGCGAAGCGATGAGTAAAGCACCTTGGAGTCGGCTGCTCGACAGGTCCTGGGTCGAGGGAAACGGCAAGTTCGGCGGGTCCATGGAGAGCTTCTTGCGAAGGCCTCAGTCAAAGCGAAGCACATACAATTTTTCTACACTCCTCTGTCTGGTAGTAGTTGGCAGTCCGAGGTTTGCACTGCAGCCTGCCTTCGTCCAGCCGGGGCCCCCGAAAAATCTACGGCAATGAGTGGTTTCGGTTTCGACTCGACGAACCTGGAGACAAGGTGCAAAAGCTCAAGCCGGACCGGGAATTACGTGTATTTCAACTCGTAGCGCGCTGAGTTCGAAGTGCAAAGACCATCAGAGCTGGTTCTGCCTCTCCTCAGCCCCCGGACAATCGCCACCTCATGAACCCTCCACTTTCCACTGGTGTGTGTTTTGGGTGACTTTCAGCATGTGGCCGAGCGCATTGGCAGTATTGCGAAGTCTTTGTTTGTCTCTAGGGCCTCTGGCAAGGTGCAAGGTTTGAGGCACGGACTTCGTCCGGCAATTCCAACTCATGGTGATAGCCTCTAGGGTGCGGCATTAGCCGTTTGCCGATGCCTATGGCTCAATCAGGCGGAACAAGCACTATCCTCGAGGGCTCGGCTTTGGCGGACAGCTGGGGTTCTGCAGGTGCGAAAATAGAAGTATGGAATCGAGGGAGACTTTGATGTGCTCAGCTATGCGAAACATGTCTGATTCTGCTCACAAGGCTGTGGCTGGATGCAGACTTTGAGGATTGCTACGTCCTTGAATCCGACGCGACTTACGGACCTGGAAGGCCGAAAATGGACTCTGAGCTGCGCTTGCGTTATTCAGAAAGCACATGTGCGAGGCTTCTTCCCTCGCAGGGAGGCCTTCAAACTCGCTTCGACGTTGTCAACGTCGAGGTCCAGCTTGCGGCTACACGAGCACCTGGACGCACGCAGATGTCAGGTGTGGGGATGCGGAGGCCTCGAGGTCCGCACACTACAGTTGCTTTCGCACTGATCCGCAGACTTGCAAAATGGCTGTGAGACTCTACTTCACAGGCTGCCAAAGCACAAGCTGCACGACGTGAACGCTTGGAATCTGCAGACTCCTTACGACTTCTTATACAGGGGTTTGCTAAAGCAGGAGGATTCCAGGTTTATGCATCACAACTGGATACCGCCTAGTATGTTTTAGTACTGGGCTTGGCCAGCATTGGAGAGCATCTGCACGAAGACATGGGATTGTAGCACGCAGACATGCGCGTGTTGTGTCGTAGCTGCCTGGTGCCAAAGCGTGCTCAGGCACGGGAGCAGGCTCGCAAGGCAGGCATTGCCGTGCGCGAGACGTAGAGGACGTGCCATAGGCACAACTTGCATGTAAGGTGGACAAAGCCCGGCTTTGCGACAACGAGTTCGACAAAGAAATGCCGGCTGCCCACATTTTCTTCGTCAAACTAGTAGATTCTTCCACCATCTCGCACATTCTCGCACTACCAGGTGATTGTTTCTGGAACATGATGCATTAAGGTTCCTTGCCAACACGTTTTCTGCAACCGCGGAATCACGGGAGCCGAACCCCAAGGAGGCACCATGCATGTCTCGAAGATATCCCTTTGTGCCTAAAATGTTCATGGCGCAGCACTGTCCTGCAAGGAGGAACCTGGCACGGCGTCTTGATGAAGGGATCGAAGTGCCCTAAACGCTGCGACAAGTCGAATGACGAGCTGAACAGATCCGCAAGCGCGGCCCGGTCTTGGGCCAGCCTCGTGGTGGTGGGGGCAACGAATCCCCTCCGAGGCCATGTAGACTCGACCCGAGCGATGCTTCCTCACAAGCGACAAGCCCGGGGGCGCCACGAGCCGCTGAAACCAGTGTGGCAGATACAACTTGTGCTTCTTGTGAACTGCGCAGCTCGCCATGATGTGTACCAGACAAGCCTGCAAGCTTTGTGCATGTTCAGCAGGATGTTCCAACTCAAGCTCCATCGTTGCGAAAGTAGAGGCAAACCTGAGGCATAGTGCGGAACCAGCTCCACTTCCGTGAGTTGGGGCCGCCATGGCCTTTCGCCAAAGCCTCAGATCCTGTGTAACAATTTGTGTAACAGGTGTGATACAGTGTCAGCTTGTTTCGGTTTCGCTCAGTGGTTAGATCCAGTCGTTTGAACCGGGACTTCTCGCCCTCTCAGTCATGTGGCATGTGTGCGTGCGCGCTTGCAGAGAGTCCTGCATGGGTAAGGCAGCCGGCCATGGTGTTTGTCAATTGTCTTGCTGCTGAGGCAGTTGTCAGTGACCATGTAGGGTATACAAGTACATTGCTTGCTCAGAGCCGGCAGTCACAAAGAGAATGAGGACGCACCTTTCCTGCTAGATGTTTCGCAGGTGCGTAGCTGGCCAGATCTACACCTTCGATAAGGCCAGGCTGAATTCGTGAAGATATTCCGAACAACGCGGAAGGTATAGGGTAGCTATGGGTAGCTGGGTAGCTCATGGTCATCTACAGAGGTGCCCTTGCCAGAGCCACGATCGCTGCACACACTTTATGCGTTCTACGCGGGGCTCTGAGATGCGCCTGAGTCACTTGCTTCAGCTTCTCATGCAGATGTATCTAGCCGCCAGCAGCGATTGCGAGGTGTTTTCCCATCAGGATGCACCTGAGAGGATGCCGCAAGCTACGTTTCATTCTAGTCTCCTCGCCCTTGTCGGTAGCGTCAGCGTGGCGGAGGACGCTTGGCCAGCCGATGATGAGGTTCCACAATCTCATGCTGCTAGCTCAGAAAACTCTGCTCCAGTCTCCGGCACGGGCGTACCTCAGAATGCAAAGCGCTAAGCTACGTGCATGCAAAGGTTTTCGGCCACGAGCCCAGAGGATGCGGAGAAGGCCAGAGGTTACACTGCGCGGAGCTCGGACTTGGGCTTGCGTTCTTTGCTGGTCTGCGGCGGTTTTAAGAAAGTGTGGAGCTAGGGGTAGAGAAATTGGCCGGACACTTGGCAGAATCACAAGACTGCACCGAGACACGACTCACGAATATTATCACACAGCCGCCCAGCACCTCCTTCCGCCCGAGAGAGCCAGCAGCTACGGTCATTCAAAATACTCTGTGTGCCGGCATGTGTCCGGGCAACACAGGCCGTTCGCATCATTCATTGACTCTTTTGTGTTGAAGAGTTACTGCAGACCTCTTCAGGGCGTGCAGTTGAGCATCCTGCCATACAGAAGCTTCTGGAAGTTGATCCTGCCGCCTTGTCCTCAGAAGGACACTAAGCAGAGATTCCCTCGCCATCCGTTGACATGTGGCCAAGCTTGCAGCTGCCGTGTATTGAGAGCGTTAATTCTCAGAGACATGTGCTTGGCACACGAAGCGCTTCGGTGCCTATCACAGTTTAAGCCCAAGCTGTTGAACTTCTATCGGCACAGCTACTAGACTTGCAGGGACAAATTCTGCTCAAACACTGAGGACGTCCTAGTCTCAGTATGCTCGTTGGCTTCCGGTGCACGAGCACAACAGTTGACTGCACCGTAATCTGAGGTTCTTGCCGGACGGGCAAGTGAAGCCAACAAGCTGTACTCCGCTCATGAGTTCTTGACATGACATAATGTCTGTGGAGTCCCTGCCAGACCCCAATGTACAAAACCCACATACGGTTTGGTGCTGGCCAGGTTGACGCAGAAGCCTCTCGGAAGCTCCGATGACGACGTGAACCTGTGACCTTCCTGGTCGTTTGCATCTTCGCAGGGAAATGACAGAAGCAGAAGCAAACCGAACCGAAGCTCCCTAAACCCGATAGTAAGTACATCTAACTGAAAGAACAACTTGCAGATGTTTGCGTGCATGATGATTACACATCTATTGTCGAGTCAGCACAGCTACTGCAACTGAAGCAACTGCGGAAGCTACTCCTCCTCCTCCTCCTAGTACTACNNTACAGCTACAGCTACAGCTACTGCTACTGCTACTGCTACTGCGACTGCGACTGCGACTGCGACTGCGACTGCGACTGCGACTGCGACTGCGACTGCGACTGCGACTGCGACTGCCACTGCTACTGCTGCTGCTGCTGCTCCTGCTACTGCTACTCCTACTCCTACTTCTTCTGCTACTGTTACTGCTACTACTAGCTTACTAGCACTACCACTACTACAGCTACGACGACGACGATGACGTATCTCACTGTTCCAGAAAAGCTTGATAAGCACGATCTCAACGTCGCCGGCGTGCTTTTCGTGATATGTGGGAACGGGCTCCTGTGTTGCGTGCCTCCGAACCTGGTATTTTGGGGGGCGCGCCCCTAGTACCAGCACTACTAGTAGTACTACTAGTACTACTGTTTCTACTACTGCTACGACGACGACTACCACTACAGTTGGGACGACTTCTCCACCACCACTACTACTACCACTCCTCCTCCTCCTGCTGCTGCTGCTCCTGCTCCTGCTCCTGTTACTGCTGCTGCTGCTGCTACTACTACTACGACTACTACTACTACGACGACGACTACTACTACTACTCCTACTCCTACTGCTACTGCTACGTTTGCTACTACTGCAGCTCGAGGTACTCCCACACGGTCAACTTTGAGATGGCTACCGACTTGCCGGTCCCAAACTGAGTCTTTTTCTGTATGTTTATGGACCCCGGCTTCGCTCCAACCTTCCAAGTTGAGAGTCAACTCCACCGGGGTGTACATCCTCGTTTTCTCGAACTGCGGCGACTTTTATCATGGCGAGGCTTGGCAGACTCCCCATCACCTGTATTTGCTGTTTGCGAGCAGACTTCTCAAGACTGAATATCGCGAAAGGTCAGTGGTAGTGTCATCGCGAAGAATTCCTATGGCTTTCTGCCTGGAAATGAGTGCCCCTGGTGCAATAAGACAGATTCATAGAAGTCCTTGTTATGCTGCTGCGGGCTACCGCGAGGTACTACAAGATGCCATTCTACGGATGGCTCTCGATAGCGCCGTGGCCAAATCCAGCAATTTTCAAGTGCAGCTGCATCGACCAGAGGCTAGACTAGATCTGCGTCCAAGAAGCAGAGCAACACAATACCTACGAGATCCTACAAGGGTAAACTTAGATTTTTCTAGCTGGCATCATTCAGCTTCAATTTGCAAGGAGCGATATGGGGCGCATCCTGCTACTAGAATGATTTGCTATGCTCCTTCCCGAGGCCTACTGCGCACTGGCAAGCGTTTGGATGTGCCTGTCGTTGCGGTACTGGCGGGAGCTGTTCCACATCCAGCTGAAGCCTCAAGACGGAGGGCTTAGGTTTCGTCAGATTTCAGCGCTAAGCCGCTAAGCTTTCAGGTACTGTATCGCAGCCGTCATCCTGCTTGGCCTAGCGCGCCTCCCGAATCGCCCGAGAGTCTTCTCTTCAGATCTCGCCTTGGCAGGTCGAAGCCTTCCTCCAGTGGAGATTCTTCATGGACTGGAATGAGTCGGGACTCCGTGGCAGGCCCTGGGCTTCTGCGGACGCGCAGCTTTTAATTGTTTTGACTTCTGCGTGCTCGAAGATTCTTGTTCGTCCTGGCCATTCTCGCAACGGTCGTGAAGTCGCAGACCCAGCGTGGCACGGTCAGTAGGCCCACTCGCACGCCGTCCCGGCCGGAAGGTCAATCTTCTCCTATATGCTCGTTCTGGTGGCATCCTTGGGCTGGGGCGTGACACGCCCCTATTTGGATCAGCCAACGATCCTCAAGGCCTGCACTCGACTCGACTGAAGCTTGCTTACGAATCGGCAGCTGTGACAGAGGTCTCTGCAGGTTTAATTTCCAGTCAGAACTAATGTTCCAATCTCCTGCATAAGCACATGCATGTTTCTGGCCCCGTTTTGGCACCGTTTTACAAACTGTTATGGCCATTTTGCATTCAAGACATTCGTGATGGATGCAGGCTGTAGTTGGCGGCTTCCAGCAGAATGCACAATACGGCCCATCAGATCAGAGATGATCAGCATGTCTCGCAAGTGCAGGGAGGAAGGATGAGGCAGAAATCGCCAGCAGGTTGTACGCCTGGGCAGTTGAATCCAAGAAGGTGTCAGTGACACTGCCCTCCACATGAAACCAGCAAGCAGGCTGAGGTAAAGAAGCTCGAAAACATCCGAGAACTCTATTCACGCAACGATATTTTGACACCTGGCGACGAGGTTCAGGGACTCTCGTTCCTGTACATCGTTCTGGACTTTGTCCGTGAATCAGCGCTGTCTTTCAGGACGCTGCGTAACTCCGCATGTGAGTTCCGGTGGTTGTGAATGCACGCCTGGCAGGAACAGCCATTCACTGTCGATAGCTTTCGTGATGCTGTGCTTGCTGCCAGTGTTTGCCTCAAAGAGCCGGCATTTGTCGGCACTGGGTGCTGTGCGAGACCCGAGGTTGCATTGCTTAACGGCCCAATCCTCAGTACACTCAGTACACCACAGATAAATTTTGCTGTGCCTCCAAGCATCGAGGCATAATATTCTACTGGATTTTCACAGCGCTGCCGAAGCCTTACACTGGTGTGTCGAAGCTATGAGGTCCAAGGAAAGCTTTTTGCAGTGGGTTTCGGATACGAGGTCTTCTCTCATTGAGATCCTTGCAGAGCGCAAGCAGGTAGAGAAGTGCGCCGCCTAGCACGGCCCAAACGAGAATGCACAAGAGAACAACAGTTTCTGGAGTACAGGCTGGTACTCTTCCAGCGCCTGCGGCTCTGCTGCACTGGCCCTCCCTTTTTTCCGACTTGCTTCCAAACACCGTCGCCGACCAATGGACGTCATCTGCAGGTGGAAGATCTTGGTGGCAGCTTTGAGCTTGGCCTCTTTGAGCTTGCCGCAGACCCAGAGCACACACACACACACAATCGCCCGCCTGCGCCTGTTCCCCACCCGCCCTCGCCCGCGCGCACGCACGTGCACCCTGGCTCTCTCTCTCTCTCTCTCTCTCTCTCTCTCTGCCTCTGCCTCTCTCTCTATATCTCTTTGCAAAGCTTAGGCTCTACCAGCTCTTCGATTTATCTCGCAGCATCAGCCAGAGATGGCACTATCAGTGGTTCTTTGCAGATGGAGTTTCCCACATCCTTTTCTGCATGGTGCGCCTGACATGCTATGGTTCTAGTGTCGGGCCGGGGCTTCCATCCGATGCGCATGTCACTGAGACGATGCTGCAAGAGTCTACGTCGTGACAGGTACTTGCAGCTATCATGTTCCTCTGGGCACCACATACAAACAGCCAGAGGTATGCCTACAAACAGGCATCTGCAATCTTTGTTGGAATCGAGACTTGAGTTCCAGAAAAAGCCCTAGAGTGTCAGGTGGATGATCAAGAGGGCGAGACCTCGAAGATCACCGAAGGAAAAGACGTTTGGGCAGACGAGGCTATGATTATGATCCAACATCAAGATGTACGAAGTTGAAAGATGGCATGAAATCAATTGGGTTGATGAAGTTGGACAGTAGAATCTTGTCGTTTTCCTGTTTGTACTGGCGAGCCGCGACGGCCGCACATGGCAATCTAGCAGTAGAGACAGACATGTAGATGGTCTCTGACGGTCGTAATTTCAAGAGGGAGCCTATGCCTCTGAAGGAAGAGAGGAAAGAACGATATGTTCGGTTCAGCTCACATTCAGATGGACAATGCTTTTTGGTGGCCGTCGGAGAACCTTCGTCTTGCGAATCACGTCCTCCCATGCAGAGACGAACTCGAATCGCTTTCTGTCGGGACCATGCAGACGCTGCAAGCCACGCAGGTGCAGCGAATGCTGGAAGATACCAGGAAACACAGATGCTTATCAGCAAGCATGCGAAGAAGCGAAGGGACGCCGCGCTTCGGGCAGGGCGTGGACATGATACTTGCACGCTGCTGTAGCAACTGCCCGACGGAAAGCAGGAAAGCAACAATACAAGACTGAACAGCCGAATCCAGCAGTCCAGCAGACCTGTCAAAGTCTGGGCTTATCGATGTGTCATCAACTTCCTTCAGGAATTTAACTGACGTTCATGTCAAGAATCCGCCATCAGCTTCGCGTCGGTGTGCTGATCGTGCCAGAGAGTCAGAGAGGTGGCAATGTGTTTTCGTACAGGTAGTTAGTAGTGTGCCGACTTGTAAATCAGGGCGGCCTCGATGAAGAAGAGGATGACTCGTTCTGGGCATCCACACACGGCAAATCGTGGCTGTCTCAGCTTCGCACGGCGAGGTTTGAAGCGTTCGAACATTCTACAACGCTTTGCCAAGCTCTTTGAGGTCAAAGGTCAACGCAGATATCCTAGGTGGTCCAACGCAGGCGGCTGCCACTAGAGCCGTGCGAATGCTTAGCGTCAGCCGACTGCTTTCATTGGCACCTGGAGGCCACTGACTAGAGCTGGTTCCTGGGGGCGTCTCACTCGAACACTACAACAGTGAAGAGGGAGGCAAGCGAGCATTTCTATTCTGGTGGAACTACATCATAGGCACCGGGCTTATAATTGCCGGGCCGTTCGACTCTGTCAATTTGCTTGCATGCCTGAAGACTGCACGGACGGAAGACTTAGCCGCGCATCCGATTGGACAGCATTTCGGCCGTCTCGTAGTCAGATGCCTGCACTGTGGCGGAGCCGTCCGTGGCATCTGAGCGCATATGCAGGGAGGCTGCAAGGTTCCGAGTCTTCTGCTCATTGCAACTTCTGTCTGAACATACAGCTCGGAGCGGGCGAAAACAACGTTGCTTCCCCCTACTGGACTGGGCTAGAATGGCGCCTTTCACAACCCCGGAAACATCTTCATGCAAGCTGAGAACGTCCATTTAGGGGACATGACTGCTTGCTGTGAGCTTTGAATGCCAGATCAGCCGGCTGACGGCAGTGGCCGCACCAAAGAGTACATTGACATGTCCAGCCCCAACCCACAGCCCCGCAAGCACCCCCTGACGGTTATTCTCACAAGCAAGGCGCTTCAGCTTCAAAATTCCTGACCGAACCATCCCAAACATCTAACTTCAAGCCCACACTCACCAGCAACCTCACCCGTCCAGCGTTCTTGAAGCGTGCATTTCCTGCGACGAAGCTTCGTCCCTCGTTTGTCCATGACTGCTGCACGGAGTTCTCCAGAGGCAGGCTCTGAAATTCTTCAGGACATATTTGGAACTGCTGAAGGATGGGCAAGGGAGCTAGGACCAGCTGGGACGTGAATTCTCGAAACTGGCCTTGACGTTGTCCTGCCAACCAAGATCCCTTGGCTCCGATAGATTTTGTTTGTGCTTAACGAAGAGTTGGTTGCTGCCCGATATCCGGACCTTGGACGCTATCCGCGCACCTTGTATGTGTCCAAGATAGGTGCTGTTGCATTAGCAGATCCGACAGGCCACCACAGCGGCAGCATGTGCATCCCCCGAGGTTGGCGGCAGTTTGCTTCGCATGTGCAGCTTGATCAGACTGATCAGATTGCAGGAAGACTTGGAAAGCGTCGAGGAGCGCATGGCCCCATTCAACAAAGTGAGAATGAATACAGTCGTGGCTTGATGTGGCTCTGTCTTCAGCCTGAATTGATTGCCACAGCCATCCTGCGAGGATGATGACGTCACCGGTGCCGAAGCTCGTCAGAAGCGGAAGCGGCACAGCTGCAAGATGCTGCAAGCGCAAGAAAGATGACGAGCTGTGTCCCGAAATGCCCCGAAGTTCTGGAGCGAGGGAACTAAGCTTTTTTGTAAGCAGGCAGCGGCGCGAGGCCCGGGAGGCGGCGAGGCTACAGCGTTTGGCACAGAAGGCCATTGCATCCCTGTTGGCCCGAGTTCTTCAAAGCTTGAAGTATTTCTACACTTGCAGGCTGCGGCTCGCCGCTCTGGACCCTCCGCAGAGGAGCTACGAGCAGCGGGCCACAGCCACACACGCTCTACACCCCCTCAAAGCGCGTCGCTCGCTGAGGCACAGAAAATCGCCGAGAAGGCGGCAGCTCGACGGGCCAAGGCCGGGCCGCCGCGGTCGCACAGAGGAAGCAACGCACAGGGTCGTGACTGTTTTGGTCCTCGAAGGCCAGGGGTGCCTTAAAGGAACCGAGCCAGCAAGGCACCGAGGAGAGATTGCGGGGAGCCTTTCGAGATCCTGGGAGTGCGACATTGTGCGACTGCAGGAGCCAGACACCAAGCCGATGGAACAGGGCGAGCCCTTCGAAAGCACATGGCCAGTTACACTTATCGAAGCGGTCCAAGATGTGTCCAACCTCCGGGGCCGGTGAACACGGTGCAAAGTGATTTTGAGTTTTTGAGAATGAGCTAGTGGGCAGGTCCCTCAAGTTCTTTCGTTGCTTCGGGCCGAAAGCCAAGGCCCCTTCCTGAAGAAGAAGCGGCCCCTCCGACTGCCCAAAACGGGCATTCCGCCGCGGCCTTCCTGTACTCCTACAGTAATTGTCTAGCTCGTACTTGTGTGACTCGCGAACGGAGCCGAGGTTGAAGGCAAAGATGGCAAAGATAAGAATCACAGAGAGCCGGCAACTCGCATGCATGGTCGTTTCAGATTCCGCAACAGGCATCAAACGCTTCAAGCGGAATGCCCGGCAGGTGAACTCAGAGAGCAGGCCGAGCAAGCTGTGTGCCGAAAATCTGGCACCCGAGAGTGAAGCAAACGAGAAAGAGGATAAGACCGCAGAAAAGGACGCAGCAACACGGAAGCAAGAGGACACGCCGAAGGAGCAAGCCAAGGCTGAAGACAAGAAGGAGGCAAAAGAGGCAGTCCGAGATGAACTGCCTCACCGAAAGCGAAAGATGCGGGAGGAGGCACTTCAGCTGAAAGTAGTGCCTTGGGCTTATCCTTTGAATCAGTTGTCTTCCTGGTTGGAAAGGACACCAAAGAAGAAAGGAAAGAAGGCAAGCCGAGACTGGCCGCATGTTAATGGCGCATGAGTCTGAACGTCCTCACAGGCAGAAGATCCCGAGACAGGCGGCGGCGAGCCGAGGTCGTGAGGGGAAGACACAGAATGCCATGGAACGGGTAACATCCCCTCAGTTTAAGAATAGGTCTGGCTAGAGAGCTGGGCCACCTCTTTCCGGGCAGCCCGGGATCCCACAAATCGGTCGCGGATGGGGTAGTTCCTTGTTTTCTGCCGGTGGCAAAAATCGTCAGGAACGGGGCAGCGACAAGTCGTCGTCAATCCGTGTCAGGGGGGTGTCACTCAGTCTTCGCTACTAGCCAAGCGAACCCCTTGTTTGCGACCTATTTCTTTGGCTAGGGCAAGGGGCAGCTTCTATGCGCTAATTTGTTTCAGATAGGAAGCTGTTGCATTGCCAGCCGAGAGAGTGTGGTAGATCCATCTTGGGGAGGGGGGTTATCCACGCTTCCGCTATCAGCAGTCTAGCAAAGAGGTCACCCCCGTGGTCCGGGACAAATTGCCAGCAGGCCGACTAGTACCCAGTCGTCGTGGTAAGAATGGCACTGGCCTTGTCCGTTTCAAAGTTGGCCACTAGCCCCTTCACGAGAGACCTACTTCCTGCCTCGTGTACCTTCCACGAAAGAAGCTTCACGCGGGGATTGCTGACTTCTGAGATTCCACGTTCGATGCAGCTTGGAAGAATGCTATGGCAGACCCTGGAGAGTCTTTATTAACCCACGCAGTGCGCAGGCATTGCGATTGTATAGACATGATCGGCAGGATCACAAGAGGAGGCGCTCCAGCGGCAGTCGAAAAGGACCTGTCGAAGCAACCCTTAACGCGTTCTGGGAATTTCTTGCCGCTGACAGGACATCGGCGTCATCGTAGAAGACGAGACAGTAGGGATGGCAGCCTGGGGAAGGTGGCGATGATGCTGCTGCACTTTGCCAGTTGGCCTTGGCACTCTAAGCATGACAGGGTGCCGGCACAAAGAAGAAAGATGCCAGCAGGTCCGCAGAGTTTGCATCCCCAGCCCCGAACCCGTCGCCAGAAGCTTCCCTTCGGTTGTTCACGTCCCTGATATTCTTCTGCGCAGATACTCTATCTACAGTCTCTTGCAAAAAGACTGACCATCAAGGGCTAGGAACAAAACACGACAACACCAACGAATTTGCAGGGAGATGCGGGGAGAGACGGCCTCGGCAGGTCACGATCTGCAAAGAAGCCTGCCAGACGGGCTGTGGACTGAGTTCCTCGCGCACAGTCCGCGGAAGCTCACGTGCGACACCGTCGACGAAACTCGAGATCCCTGGTAGCCTGAGGCTAACGCCATCTCACCGCCAAAGCCCGCGAAAGCTCGTCCTGCCGTTGGAGCACGAGTAAAGGTGTTGACCGAAAATGAGGACAAAGAAGGCCTCTACTATGACGACGATCGGGTTGCCTGGCACAGCATACAAAGGAGCTACAGCAAGCGGTGTGGCAGTGACCAGGTGCCTGCAGTATTTGAAGCTCCTGCTGCCAGGTTGGTTCGAAGGGAATGACCGGACGAATTGTCGAGGATGATACCTCTGAGCAACCTTTTCGTGTCAAGCTCAAGAACGGCAAGCTGTCCTGGTTCAAGGAAGAGTGGCTTGAGGACTTCCTGCATTAAGCAGATGCAATTTGTAGGCCTGTCCTTCTTTGAGCTTTGCGGCAGATTTGCCGATTTGCTTTAGTTCCAAGCCAATTTCGATTTTGGAAGCATGCGCTCGCTCGTATTCGCATATCTAGGTTTCTTCTTGAGTTAAATAGGCTGATAGATTTGTGGGCTGACATCGAAGAAATAGCAATCTTGCCGAGAAGCATAGGAGGAGGAGGAGGAGGAGGAGGAGGGTCACCATGGCGACGGCAATTGCGACGACTAATCAATTCTGAGAAGAATGACAACGACACGTTAAGTCCAAAGACCGTTAAATAGTAGCAGCAAAGCACGTGCTGAAGATCAGGGTTGCGCTAATCGGAACAGCCAATGATGCAAGAGAGCGCCTTCATGGTCTCTAATCATGCGCAGGAGCTCGACGGTGGGTAATCCTCTCATCTGCTGCACCTTCATGTGCAGCCTGACGGTTGACATTGGAACCACTTAGGTCATCCTCGTCGAGTTCTTCATCTTCTTCCTCAGACTCGTCCGGTGAATCGGCCGAGGATGTATCTCGGCCACATGTCGGAAAAGTTGCCTAATGAAATTCGTGTGAAGCGGTCAAGATGGAGTTAGCACATCAACGAATGCATGACGACTGACATGTTGAAACACCTCTTGTACACTACTCGTCGACAGGCCTCCAAATCTCCACTCTTTGTATATGATTTGAGAGGTGTTTTTGAGCACGGTCGAAATCGTGGTTCCCATAACCTCCAAAATTGTTTGGTGCCCTTTGGCTCCCGTCCCATTCCCTACCCCTCCCAGGCAGCTGGCAATGCTCAAAGCCCCGGTGATGAGGCCAGGACCTCGTCCAGCAAGAGTGGTGTTAATGCAATCTCAGTTGTGGTGACTTGCTGCTTTATAGACGCAAGCTATGTTTTTCACAGATCGAAAAACATAGCTTGACAATGACAAATCAAGCATGAGCATGTTGTGGACTGCACAGACCCGCGTGGCTCGCGTGACTGTCCACTAAGGCTGTCGCCTTTGCTTGGGAGAGAACTCCCAAGAATTTGCCTGCAGCGGGCCTGGTGAGCCCTGGCAAGTTCGGGTAAATTCTGCTCCCAAGTTTGTGTTTGTGCATTTCTGGGTGCCAGGCAGCTTATGCCTTGAATGGGGCCGGCGGCGTCTCCCCCCTTGCTGCCGAGGCAGGTTACATCATAGCCTATTGCGTCGAATTCATAGCGCCCGTTGCGCCTGCTTCCCTTCGGCTCTGGTGACTTCCCGGCCCATGAGGTGGAGACATTCCTCGCAACTGCAATGGTGGTCAGGAACCCAGGACATTCCCGGACTTCCCGGCACGCGGCGACCCATTGACATGTGAGACATGTGGTTGTCGAGCTTTCGCACATCCGTTGCGAATCTTTAAGGACGGACAAGCTGCTCAACGCTTGCGATGCATGCCTGCCCACCAGCAGCGAATGGTCATGGAGTCCTCGCCCCGAAGTTCCGCTCCGAGTGTGCCAGAACTCTGGGGTGCCATCTTGTTCGCAACTGAGTCGCGGACCAATTGCTGGGAGCAGAGCACCTGAAGGGGCGTTGGCCTGAAAGGCGAAAAGAACCCCTGCAGCCGTGTGGGTTTCTGCCTGCAGGTGCTCGTTGCTCGCATCCGCGATGCCGAGCTGGGACGTGCTGGACCAGGACATGCACCACAGGCTGTAAAATTTTGGATGTTGAGGGCTTTGAGCCCTTGTCTGGTAGCAGGAGCCATGGGTGCCATTCCAATGAACGGCGGCCCACCCTCCTCCAATCCCGAGATCGAGAAGTTCATCTCCAAGCAGTGGCCTGAGCCGCCTGAGCCAAAATGTCAAGAATAGGAAAGGAACGGAAAGGATGACGTGCCGTTTTTGGACTGCTCTTTGCTGGAATGGGCAGATCCAAGGAGTCTTCAATGTAACTAGAACACACGAAAACTCCGGAAGCCCGAGGTGGAGCCTGGATGTCAAGGCCTCCTGGATGTTGCGCAGCCTGCCACCTGCGGCAGACTGAGATCAGGCAATTACTTATACTTGGCTGAGAGGGGCATCGAGCTTAGGTAAACCACAGGTGACATCGCCTTGCACTAAGGACAAGCACGAGACGGTGCTGAAGATGTCGGTAGAGAAGGCTCTTGCGCCTGATCTTTGGGACAGGTGATCCAAGTTGAAGCATCTCCCGCCATTCTAATCACGATGGAGGTACTTGTGACAGGAAGTCATGAAGAATCAAGTGTACTGAGGACACAACCCTCAACAGTTACTGCGACAGAAGTAGGCTTCTAGTCTTCGAATCAGCAAACTGAGAGTCTGGAAGGTGTGCCCTCGGTGACGTGCTGGGGTCGAAGTAGCTGCAAACCAGACCTTGCCCAAAAGCTCGATCTAATCATGGTTATCGAAACTGAAGCCACAGCCTCAAGCCAGAAAGCCCTGATGTTCACTGGCATTCAGCTGTGGTCACTGTTCGTGTCGAAGCGGTGTGACCTACTAAGGTATACTTCTCCTAGGTATGCAGAGACCTGTTGAATGTATGTAGCTGGAGTCACAAGAGAGATGCAAAAAGCCTCAAGCCGGCCTTGGCTCGGCTCGTGTATGGCAGGCCCGCAATCCTTCCGCCTATATCATCTCCCAGATGAATTCGCGATCCTGGCAAAGTTCAGCTTTGCTCAGGGAACTGCCGATGGCAGATGGATACTTCTGTCGCAGCGATGCTCTTGCATGGATTTGGAGTTGTAGAGTTTAGCACACAGATACGGGACATGCACGGGGGAAGGTAGGTTCATGCAGATGAAAAGCACTTTGCACGTTCAACAGCAACGGGCTTGGGGCTCGAAGGATTCGAATGCTTGATCCGATGGCCAGGTTGTTTGGCGGAGTTCAAGGCATTCAGGAGCCCCGTGACCTCGTCTTGCGATGTCGCCAACGCCACACGTCATGGAGGGCTTTTGAGCACCGCAGTGTTTTCTCATGCGCACTTTTCGCCCAAAGCAGACTTCTGATTGCAGGAACTTCAAAGGATGAATGCCCTTGCCAATGGAAATCGCGTGGCGCCCTCGAGCTTAAATGAGCTTCAATGCCCACGTCACGACACTGCCGATGCTCTCTGAAGTGACCAGGACGCAATGCTAATGGTGCCCAAGTTCAACAAAGAGCCAAACTTCAACTTAACAGCTGCGGCTTGGCTTCCTTGCCTCTCAGTGTGGTACTCGTATCGAGCTTGTTCTCAACACGTTCCAAGAGTTGCAGACATCCCAGGTTACAATTTGATGGCTGTTGACTGCACTATCGCCAGACTCTGGCCGATTCAAGCGGAGCAGGTTGCAGGTTGCGACATCCTTGGGCCCTGGACAGGTGAAACTGGAGATGGGCGCTGAGTCGTAGCTTGCAATCCAATTTCAGACCTCTCCTCAAGCCCAACAACCCGGCCCACTGCACACCAAAAGGCGTCACGCGCAAGGGCCCAGGAAAAAAATGCTAGTCTGACTTGGGACTTGCCAACAACGTGCAGAGGCGTAGAACTAGGAATGTGCTTGATCCATCAAACTGCGTTGGCCAACGCATGTCAAAGGATTGTACGCGAGCATCGGCTTCCGCTGCTTTCTGTGGTGGGTCACGTGCTGGCCTGTTCAGCACGCGGCGAAGCCATAAAGCGGTTTCAGGCCCTTCCAGCTTGCTGCAGGCCATGAGATGGAGCCGAGGTCTGCCGTTCCACAATGCGTGCTGTCGAACGCAAACCTCAGCATAGCGTCGCATGTGCTTTCTGCTAGTCGGCCGAGCTCCATGGACCGGAGGACAGCATGAAAACCAAGTGACCAGTCCATGAAACAGGAGCAAGCCACGCACAAATGAAGCAAACTCTCTTGAAGCACAGACTCGACATACTTCGATAAACGGTACTCCATTTAGACAGCCTGTGCCCCTCCCCAGGGTCATGCGATGTAAACCTTTCGATTCCGCGGCTGCAGAGTTGGTCGACAAGAGCTGGGAACCCCAGTCAACCTCGGCTGATGCAGATGCGTCTCCCATGAGCACTTCCTAAGGCCTCCACTCTTTGAAGCAGCTTCGATCCGAGAAGGCGTGAATCGTGCAGCTCTTGCCTGTGCTTTCCTGTGCTTGTGCCAAGCCATTGCTTTGAGGCCACGAAGCCGTGGAATGACGTGACACTGATGCAGTCATCGAGCCGAAGACCTACCACCCTAATTCTAGCAAGAGCTGGCTCATATGAAAAGGAGTTGTTGTAGAAAAAAGCATCTGGCGGACAGCAAGCATGCCCCCTCGCCGGGCTGAGAGAAAGCATCAAGCAGCTGACACTGCAGCGGGATTGGGCCGCAGCAGCATCATGAGTCAAAGACAAGATGTCAAAGGGCCGGCAAGAAGTTATGTGTTCGATGGTCCAGGCTGCAGGTTGGAAAGGCCCACCTCGTCTCTTGGAGATGCGTCTCCTTTGGCAGCTTAAAGACAGCGGCATCTGCACAAACGCAGCAGTCCACTGAAAACAATCGATAGAGAACAGTTTTCACTATGGCTTTAAGAGGGCCCAGATGCAGGCTGCGTGTCAATCCTTCAGCATGAACAGCCTCTGAAGGCTGTCAGCATTTCAGCACCTTCGGCATAGCACAGAGGCGTGTTGCTGGCATGTTCTGGTGTGCTAAGGCTTTGTTCAAAGTGCGGCACGGCATTGGGGGGCTGGCCTGATCCCTACAGCGAATGCAAGAGCTTCAACGCAAGAAAGACAGTTCTCTCGCTTCTTGCAGGCTTCAGGCCGACAAGTGCTCGGAGGTGCAGCTGCTAAAGCATCGAAAAGTTCGAGAGCAGCGCATTGCGGTGTTGAAAGGCGAATGCAGATGTTGCACGGTGCTCCAAGAGGCAGACACTGCTGCTGAACAACAATCCGATCGCCAGGTGGCCCCCTCACGGCGTAGCAGAACAGGCAGTGGCTCTCGCACAGTTGTACACACCACAAGGGGACAAAGCACTGAAAGCAGGGTGGGGAAGATCCCCGAGTTGTAGATGAGAAGCCCGATGCTGCTCGGAGACCTGCTCCTGCTGATGGGACCAGGTTGGATTCGCAATGTTCAGTTGCGGCTTGGATTTCCTGATCAACTCAGATGGCTCTCCTCTACGTCAAGCTGGGTCGACATGGAGCTAGGAGCTTGGAAGATGCATGCGACACATGAATGAGTTGTTGTTCAAGCTCAACGGGAGGAACTTCCGGTCTCCGCAGGCAGATGTTCCAGGATCAATGGGCGCTGCGAGATGTGTTTTTTGAATGCCTTTGGATCCATGCACCTTACAAAGTCGCATGCTCGTCTGGCGGCCCATGCGAGGCTTCATGGATCTCAGCCTCCTTTGCAGGACCCATGTACCTTGTGCTGGGCGAGGATGAGGAAGAAGAGAGCTTCCTGCTACAGGCCCGGTGAATGCTTAGGCGGCCGGTGTAGACGGAACACTGGCAGCTAACAACCTATAAGCCTAGAATCATTTGAAGCGCAGCCCTAGACGTCCACTCAACATCCCAACCATGCTGCTAGGCAATGCGAAGCGTCGTGATCGACAGTTACGACGCCACGGTCGTACGCGATATTCACGCCAAGCACTTGCCTCGACTTGATCGGCTTCCCTCGAGATTTGCAAGCCACGGAAAGATGGGGTACCTTCATAGACGGAGTCTTGCCGATTCATCAGAGAACACTTGGCTAACAGCCTGAAGGCTTAAGCGAGCTATCCAGGAAGAGCCAGCAGGTCAGATACTGGAGTTCCCTTATTGGGCCACAATGTAAAGCCACGGTGCCATCGACCGACCACTGGCTGAATGCCTGAAACCTTGACAATTCTAGGACGTTCCAGACCTTGGTAGTGACACACATCTGGAAATCATACTGTGCTGCGTTCGCAACATGCTGAACCGGTCATCTCTTTTCAAGAGGACCACATTTCCTCTGCAGTCTGCATGGAGTAAGGCTGGCAAACATACCAGCGAGCGATGCCTGAGGTGGAGCTTTGCACACTTGCGCTGTCAACATGTCTAAACAATGGCCCCAGTACCATGAGGGGCCTAGGTTGGAAACTTGCCCCGTCGGAAATATTCAGCAGCCGAAAAACCATCCCCCAACCGTCCAAGCAAACCTGCAAGGAGAAGCGAAAGGCTGAGAAACATGGCCGACCTGCGCTTCTGCACCGGCGAGATGAGAATTGAAACTTCTCTCGCGGAGAACAGGCTTTTCACAGCTTCCTCTCTCCCTTTTCTAACCTTCCCACGGAAATCGCATCTGTGTCTTGGGGTCGCACGGATCCACGGGAGTTTTTGTTGGACCGTGGGAGGCTGTTCTTTCGGCGGTGTTGTTGGCAGGATCACGTCTTTCATTCTTGCCGTACGACATCCCCAGAGCCTTCCAAAAAACCTCTTGCCCGTCGGGTTCAAGGCATTCGTTCAGCGCTCACTCGCACTCTGGTCCCGCAGTTCAACCCAGTTTTCTAGGGCCTTCAACAGATGAAGTCCACGCCTTTAGATGGATGAGCGGCACCGGCGTAGACCCCAAGAAAGCCAAGGCATCCCATGGATAGTGGCTGAGTAGGCTTCCGCTCGGGTAGAGGTGTTCATTCAGCGGGCCACAGCGATGACGGGATCTGTCGGTATGCCTAAACGACCGGAGTTTGCCAGGGCATCAAATCTTTCAAGCCTTTACTTCGACCGCTCCGAGATCAGAAATGTCCACTGTAAAGTACTGGCAAGGTCCTGGCTGACAGAGTGATCTCCAGGTTGACCCAAAGAAGATTCCTAGTGTTCGCCCCATGTTTGATACTCGTTCCATTCATGTCTTATCGCTTCCCGTTTGCCATGGTTAGCAAAGCGCTCTTCTGCATCGGGGCACGATGCCTTGCCAAGGGCCTAGAGCCACTGTCGCAGGCCGTCACCTTTCCATGCACGTGTGTACAATGAATGCAGCAACGGGCCAAGACATGCTTATCAATCCAGGCTAACATGCCTGCAGTCTGCTATGCAGCAGTGTAGAGCCTTTAGCATACTGATCTGCAAGACAGGATGCAGCAATTTAGCCCCTTATTGCATTGATTTGTCAGTCAGCCTGTTGCATGTCTCGCATCGTCAAGCTGCTTTCCGCAGCAGATGCGGTGGACACCTTCCGCGAGGTCGCTTGTAAACAGAGACTGGGCCACATCCATGTCACAGCCATGCGAGCGCCCAGGCCTGATGTTATCCTGTCGGCATACAAGCTGCACATGGCTCGTCCCCACAGCAAACGTTGGAGCTGAACATTCGGTAATGCAGTGCCATTGGGGGGGCAGCCTGTGTTTTGACACTTCGACGAGTTACAATGTCATGACCGACAGCTGGACTGGTGATGAAGTCCGTAAAACGGATTGTTGATTGGAGCAATCCAGGCACCCGAGGACTTTGAACTGTCAGGTGAACACTAAACTTGCCGCAGTTCTGAGGTGGATGGCGAACAGACCTCACCTATCTGGATCACTACAGCTGTGAAACGACTGTGACGGCCAGATGCACTTTCAAGCTTTTGGTGGCTACAGCTTTCAGGATTCGGTTGATCCACTCAGGCTCCGGCCTGCAGAAGACTCTCTAAAGCCCTGAAGGCTACAGATTTCAGTTTACAAGTGTGCTGGGTCTCCGCATACCCACAACATGAGCACCTTTTCAAATGGTTTTATCGCAGTCCGTAGCCGGCTACGACTACTGGGGAACTCAAGTGTCTATGGCTTTGATCGAAGACTGCCCGAAATCTGTCCTGCGAAGTCCTCCGAACACTTAAACTGACTACTTCCCCAGGCTTCGGCATCTCATTTGTGGGCATATTTGCCTTTGATTGCTTCTTTGCGGCTCCGGCCACCTTATTCAGGGCAGTTGAACTTCTGCTTTGTCCTGTTGTCAGTGGCACAAGCCAAACTTGACAGCTGCCATGTCCCAAGACCTCGATGCAGCCTAGCACATCCCTGAACTCTTAGCTGAAGCAGCTCCTGCAAGTCCAGTCTAGATAGCCGAGACTGTTCTGAAGCGGATGTGTCGCTGCTATCCTCACTACCATTCACTACCCCATGCGCGGGTCAGTAGCGAGAAGCGGCTACCACAGGATGCCCGGTACAGATTCACTATGAACGCAACTTGTGGCTCCGGCCACCATGTAGACGATGTCGGCAAAAGCCTAAGGCCGGAGGACAGGACCCATGATTCCATTTCGAACGCCCGAAGGGTAGAATCCACGGAGACAGTTTCGGCGAGGCCAAGGCCAAAGTCCCAAAGCCCCACCTGGCCGCCCAGCCTCGCAGCCTCAGAGTCTTCCAAGGCTTTGCGATGCTTTGCTCCATCCAGGTCAACGTCCCCGTCCTTGCCACAAGGCAGGCCGACAGCAGGAGGCTCTAGCTGCCTGTGCTGAAACGTCTCCTGCTGCCTCCGACATCGTGTGATATCAACTGCAAGCCCGTTCTGAGTCTTGAATGAAAATACAATTCATCAGTCCTGTGAATTCACTGGCTGCCTGAAGTCATGTGTTCTTACGAGTCGGACCTACTCCGAGGCTGTTCGGGACGGTAGACTTGGTAAGATCATGAGCTGCTTCTCAGCAGATGCTCGACGACAACGGCACGTGCACCCCTCATGCTGCTCGATTGAAAGCCATGAGCCCCAATTTCAGGCAAGTCCGTCTGTTTTGCCCTGCTCGTCAGGAGAAGTTGCACGCACACCAGTAGTCAGAGCGGACGCTGGCAAACCATCGGGGCAATAGCATCCACGACATTCACACTGCACGACGCGCTGGTCGGAAGCCCAGTCCGAGTAAAACAACCTGCACACACGCAAGGGCGTGAAGCAGTGTAGCTTTTGGGCCATCCGCTTCAAATTATTACCATGGGCCTCATGAAACTGAGACATAGCACCGAGTCTGATTTAGCTTCGAGAGTTTACATCCTGTTGAAACAAGTACAGCAATCTCCATTGTGCTGCAGTATTGGACTTTGCCCCAGCTTTCGTGTCAGAGTATGTCAATGTGCTGAGACTAGCCAGTTTAACCAGCCGCAGTAACGTTTTCACCGACTTTCCAGCCCTGAGTCGGACTTCTCAGAAATTCGAAGGGTGATTTTGAGGGCCTGCGGCCACTGCTTTTCAACAGGAGAGACATTGCTCACTGTGCCCATCTTCCACCAGCGCGCGGAGTCGCGGAGCGAGTTGCAGGAGTCGGCTCCGGCCATCCAAAGAAAAGCTGATTTCAAGTTCGTGACCCAGGACTTTGCTTTCTGGCTCCGGCCAGCGAAAGGGGAAGTTTTTTGGCCCCCAGGGCCTCAGGGTCGTAAACATCGTAAACGGGGCTACATTGGGGTGGATAGCCGCTGAGATACCGTCGGGTGCACCCGGCTAGGGGGCATGCGGTCCGCCGCAGCAAATCGGCTGACAGCCTGACGACCTGGCCGATGTAGGGGCGGCTACGCCGCACGAGAACTGTCGGAAGCCTTTCTCCGAGCCCAAGCCCAGGTTTGTCGCGGTTTGCCAAATCTTCCAGTGCCACTTGAAGCCGGGAACCACAGGAAGGCTGTGGCCATGGAGGTCACGGGCAGGGTCCCATACCAACTCGTGCACTAATGTCTACGAGGCTCGGGGGCATCAAGTTCAGTTTGGCTTGATAAGGGTGCGGAGCCCTGAGCCTTGTTCCCCAATTCATCCATTTTTTGTGGGATGCAGGGGCTACACCTTGTTATACTACCACCCTTCGAGTCCAAACAGTTCGGCTGTGCAGCATGCAAAGAAGCGATACAGGTGAGCACATCTCTATGCCAGCAGCAGTTCTTACATGGCTGCAAGTGTTTGTGAGAGTATGTGCATGAAATTTCAATGATTTCTACATTTGTCCGGCTGGCCTGCAACAAAACTGTCTGCAGATATCCAACAGGAAGCCGTGAACCAGAAACTCCTGGCCTTGCCGTGCTTTCGACGGCTTCGGCTCAGTATACTCAGAGTGTGCCAAGGAGTCCAACTCGCAGGCATCCCGTCTCCTAGACGGCCCAGAAATGGGGGCTCAATCCACCTTTACCGTACCGTCTACCCAGTTTGCCTTAGCCCTCTACAGAGCGGTCAACTGGGCCAAATGCCTGCTATTTGTAACCCTGTCTTTCGCTGATAGCAATCAAACTTCCTCATGCAGCTCCACATCAGAGTATGTTTTACTGGTCGCTCTGCTAGGTCTAGGTGAGCTGAATTCAGCGTCATCATGGCTCTAGTGGCTTTTGTACGCGGCTTTACGCTGGCTCCACTTGGCCGCATGGGATCGCGATGCCCTGAGCCTCAGGATTTTTGCTGGCGCTGGCCTGGCTGTTCGTCGCGACTTAAACAGTCCGAGGCCTTGCTGTTGCTTATCTTCGGAGGCGAGCGTGTCCATGTGGCCCCGGCCACCAAGAGCTTCACCGCAGCTCACATGCACGTGACATGCCCGCGGCCCATGGGGATATGTTGCGGCTCCGGCCATCTGTGCATGCCGGCACCGGCACTTGTCATTTCGAACCCGAGCGAGGATAGCGCCTTTGCTGCAAAATTTGCCTGAAGGCACCTGCAGTCCGCAAGATGCATCCCCCGAACTGTCCATAATGGCCTGGCGCGACTAGAGGCGGTAGACTCTCCCACTGCGCGAAATGGTCGGATTTGGCAGTGCTGTCGGCTGTATATCAGCACATATGAATAGTTGAATTCACTACAAGCGGAGGATGATGTGAAGATATGCGCCCGTAGCACTGCCGTGTTGTTCCTCGACTGTTGATTCCGGCCACTCCCCGTAAGAAAGCGTGACTGAGGAGTCTTGCCTACCGTATCTCCTAGAAGCACTCAAGCTCTAGCTTGCTCACGTTTTCGCGTATAAGCCTATCCGGAAGTGGCAAATTCGAGATCCTAATTCTTGCTTCGCTTTGACCCTCATTGTGTCAGGACATTACACATCAGAGTCTCGTACATGACACCACAAGGGCGATCAAGGCGAAGAAGAGCTCGCACACCTGGCTCCGGCCAGCGAAAGAATCGAAGTATGAAAGTCCAAACTCCTCCATCATCGATGTCAAGCCAACAATGTGAGACGATCCACTATGCCGCTTTGGCGACTTGAATGCACTTGATGGGTCAGACCTTTTGCGGATTTGCAAACTGCAGTCTGATTTTTTCGAACTGGCTGCAAAGGTTCTGCTCGGATGACCTCGAACACGGGGTCCCAAGGCAGTTGGGGGCCAAGCTCTTGCCGAAAGTCGCATGCTACCGCTGTGGAGACCACTCGATAAATCATGTTATTTTTGCTGCCCGAAGTTCACTTTGGCGCTTTGTTGGAAGAGCATCTGGGTGTTTGATGGTATTTGAACATTCTGCGTGGATCGCGGGGGTTTCAACTGGCAAGTGTGTCAGGAGTGTTACCAGAACAAGTCGGTTGTGAGGGACCTGAGGACATGTCGTCGGTCCACCGTGCCAGCAGCACCATACCCAGACCATACCTGACTCCTTGGGCGTTGAACCCAACGCCAAAAAGTCTCAGGCCTCCTGAAAGCCTTGAGCGCCATCATCTTCTATGACAAGCACATAACAAATACATGATGACACATGCATTCATTCATACATAGGCACTTTACATTAAAATACGTTACATGACGCACATGGTGACGCCACATGGCGTAACATAACATAGCATATACTCCTGTGACCTTATGTGTATGCAAGTGCACGTCTGTCTGTCTGTGTGTGTGTGTTATCAGTGTAAGCTCATACACACACACATAAATTCATATGTTACAGATCTACATGCGAAAAAGGAGAAGAAACCAACGGTCCGCAGCCTACTGTGCTGCAATCTACTTTTCCTGCCAAAATGCATGAAGACCCTAAAATACCAATACCCTTCCCCAATTTGGCAGGATGCACAGCGTTGGAATGTACTTTGGCACTGCCCAGGCTTGGTCCGTGAGCACATCCCCAAATGTGAGTCAGGAGTTTCACCGTTAAGTAAAGCGATATCACATCAAAAGTGAGGATGCACACAACCTCTCATTGCACAGGGCTGCACTGATCAATGTGAACTAACTACTGCACCGCAATCAGAGATGCGATGGTTTGTCGGAAGTCCATCTACTTTTCACCTTGACAACGTCCGTGCAGCCGTGCTCGGAAAGCAAAAGATGTAACCAAAGGAACTGCGGGGCCTTGCCGCGTGGCCGCCGTCATGCAACGGCGGACACTTGGCTAAGACCTGAGCATCGACTCTGCGCAGTTCTCAATTTGGCTCGAGCCCGGGGGCCCGGCGATTTCCAGTCATGTCGAAGGCAAGCCAGAGAAGCTTTGCCCATCTTTGCCCTTTAGCCGCCTTTGGCCAGCGTCCTGGCGTTGCAGGAGGATCCATTGGACATGGCTTTGCCGGACGAGGATGGCTCCGGTGACGACTATGACCGAGATGAGGACTCGCTTTGTGCATTTCTTGCTCAGTGTTCGCTGATGTTCCCAGCTGATATCAGCCCTTCCCAACGGCAGGACTTCGATGGGGACTACAAGGGGGCCGAGGGCCTCGAGCTGAAGGGCCCCGAAGAGTTGGCCATGGACCGAAGCCAGCATAGCTCCCTAACGCGCTTTCACCTCGCAGCGCTTCCCAGAGGACTTCGATGTCTTTGGCAGATATGTGCAAAGTTCACAGACAGAGAACGGCAAACCCGTATTTCTGGGGCCGCTCGGCTGTGAGATTATGGGAGCGGTCATGAGGATTGCCATGCTTTCGCATACCAGGCCCAAAACCGAGGGAGCAAGGCCAAGCATTGCATTCACTCTCGGCGGCGATGACAAGCCCACATGGTGGATCTGTGATGCGTCCCAGCCTCGACAGACAAGATTCGGATCTTTTGAGCGCAATCATGCTTCTGTACATGTACAGTATTGCACACGTCCAGTGCATGCACATGTCTCAGGTCCGGTGGCGAATGCTTCTATGCTGAGTGCGATGCCGATCGTCCTCCTAGGAGTTCCACTGGTTTCTGCCGGGGCTGCGATGTTGTCAGGCTGATTACATTACCTGAAAGTTGGCGAGGACCGGATGGCGAAATTACTCCGATGCTGAGGTGGAATTGGTATTGGAGGCAGTGACTCGAAACCGCCCTGGATCTAACTTGAATTTTTTGACTCTTCTGCAGGGAGGGTGGGTGGACGGCGAGACGAAGAAGGCAAATCCGCTTCTCTCCGTTTGGCTCAGTGCGACTTCACCTTTGCAGGACTCGCGCTCTGATCGGTCGCGGAGCCCACGCCGCGAGAAATGTCCTTGGTGAAGACAACCATAAAATCAAGACCATGTCCTGGTGCTGTGATATTCGTGCCAAACATCCGCACCCACAGGTGAGAGACAATCTGTAACATTCGGTTTGTGACGGGTTGATGGGCACAAGTTCCATCGACCACAAGCAGCTGCGTTCGACTGAAAAACATCGGCGAAAACTCATTTGACCTTTCAGGCTTCAGCATGCTTTTCAGGCTAGTCACTAGTTCAAATGCGGCACTGCTCGTTCCTGAGACTCGAACCAAACCAAGTTCGATGATGGAATAAGGGACCTGAACCTTGGCCTGGCTTTCAAGCTACCAAAACAGCCTTCAACTCAGATGTACAAACTCGAAGAAAGCGGTGATGCATCTGAGTCAGTCTCGGAAGCAATGGGCCTTCGCCTGGTCATGAAGATGCCATGGCAATGTTTGCCCAGCTGTGGGAGTACTGGCACTCTCGACAGTACGAAGAGGCAGCCGGCGAGGTTTGCCGACTGGTCGGAGTGGAAGAGGAAGCGTTTTCATCACAGAGGCAGCTGCTGACTGCTGCCGGAGCTTTACATGCTTCCGAGTGCCCAGCTTGGTCCGAGGAGGATCGATCCGTAGCACTGCTTGGGCGCAACTGCTGCAACCGATTGGCTGAGAGACACTTGCGCAACAGCAACTGGCCCGAAGCAGCTCGATGGTGCGCCCTAGCCTGGCGACTTGAGGGTGGTCAGAGCTGTGCAAGTCTTTGGCTGGAAGATGGCAGCTGGGCAGCTGCTCGCTACCAGCGCTTATTCCATGCAGCAGAAGTCTTTCGCCTCGCGTGCAAAGGCGGCCAGAAGGCCTCGAAGAAGCCAGCCGAGGAAGGATTCGATGGATCGGAGTATTTGCAGGCTTCCAGACGATGCCTGGAAACTTGCGAGGCAATACTCCAGAGGCACCCGGCACCACCCCGCCCTTGGAACCCGTGCTGCGCAGTTGATCTTCTCCCCAAATATATGAACATACATGGTGGCTGCGTGCAAAGGATACTGCCTTAAAAACCGGGCCCCACACCGCGCACCCGTTACGCAACCTCGTACCAAGGGTATGTGAAAAAGGATGACTGTTTGATGCGATCGGGTTGCAAACATATGTAGCAACACAGGGGCGAGACAGGTATGTGTCAAGCGTGGGCTGTGTCGTACCGGGGTATACCGGGGTAAACGTAGATTTAAGGTTAGTTCGTTACTCATGGGTATGTGTTTGGTACCTTTTTTCACTACTCTCACTTTGTCTTGCAGGTGGCCGACCTGCACTGCCAACCCTGAAGGTATTTATACCTGCCACGACCTCGGGCTGCAGCTTCCGTCAACAGATGCACTTCGCTTTGATCGTGGCTAAGGCCTGGCAGAAATCTGTTGGCAGCTGAAGGAGCACTGTTCGCGTTTCGCGGTCCAGATCCGCAGTGGCTCAAACTTGGGGGGCCACACCGTATCGAGCCTGGCAGGACATCGCTGCCGTTAGATGGAGCTGCCGGCAAGCGTCTTCCGTCCGACAATAGGCATCTACCATCTACAACTCATCTACATCTACCATGGTTGACATGACGAGAATGAGCTTTCTTCCTCAGTTACTTGCTCCAAGGTTGTCCCTACTATCGCCTGTCGCAGGCCAGAAAATGAATGCGACACGCGCAAGCAAGCACGCGAGCTGTTGTCTGCAAGTGCCAGTTTAGCGAAGGTTTGACCTGCGCTCGTGCATATGCGGGCCTTTTTGTCCTCTGGGTGTTTCAAAGCAGGCAGCCCAAACGCAGCTGCAAACTGATCAGACAGAGCGATCCCGTGTCCTTGTGTCAGCAAATGTCCTACCATTTCATGACCGAGGTGCCGCGCTGGAAGCCTTCAGCTGGCGAGAGGCTGCTAGTCTCTCCTGCAAGAGAATTCTCTTGACTCTTGACCCCAAACTGTTACGCAACCCCCAGCCCTAAACCCTAATCCGGCCCAGAGGTGCGTGCAGCACTGCACTGTGCCAGCGACCTCTTCCACAGGCAGTTATGACATGAGGGACAGGTAGCAGCAAGTAGCAGCTTCTAAGCATGTCTTTGCCATCGCAACATGTGAAGTTGGAAGTGTCCGGTCTGGTCAGCTTCGAATGGGTGAAGCCATTTGTGCTCATCACAGAGTGAGACACGTCGCAATGATCGCTGGCGATTGCTGGCCACCGAAACACAAGGCTCGCGACTCGCTTCGCTGCCTCAGTCCATTTGCAATGAGAAGGGGCCGAAGTTGCTCTCAGATGGGTCATGGCCATGATGGTGAAGCAGAGATTCGTTGGAGTGAGCCACTGGCAAGCCAGACAACGAGAGGGCAGACACTGAGCTAGTGGCTAGAGCTTTTTGAGGTGCGGTCAAGGACACGGCTTGGATTCCAGCAAAGTGTGACACTGCGAGAGTTAGACCATGGGAGATCTCAGTGGCCAGACTGCAACACATGTATCAGGCAGGCATGATCGTGGATGTAGTGGACCACAACCAGCGGATCTCTGCCTGTGGGCGAAGCCAAAGGTGGAGAGGCGCCATACACCTTCTAGAAGCCCTTCAGCCGAAGCTGCGAGCCAGCATCATCACTTTCAATGCAGTAGTGGCTGCGTTTTCACGTGAGAACTGGCAAAGGGCCCTGGACTTGCACAAGCAATTGCTGCAGATGTCTGCGAAGCAGGATGTGATCACAGTGAACACCTCCGGACAAGCATTGCAAGCAGATCAATGGCAGACTGTCTTCAATCTGATGGAGACTGCCTGTAGAGCAAACATCAGGCTCAGTCAGACAAGCTTTGGAATTGTCACCAACAGTTGCAAAGGTGGCGAAAACTGGGATCTGGCAATTGGTGCACTCAGCCAAATGCAGAGGACCGCTTTGCAAAGCAACGAGATCGTGCCTGGAGTGCGCTTAGGGGCTTAGGCACCTGCGTTTTTTTCTTGATCTTCCAATTTTCCCCAATTCCCTTTGCCTGAGACCCAAAAAAAGCACATTATGAAAGTGAAAGGCCCCTATAAACCCCAGGTCTGGAGCTCCTTGGTACGAAATGCCGTGGTCTGGGAGACGGGCTTGGAGATCATGGAAGCGGCTTTCTTTAAAAGCGCGGGGAGGCCGAACCTTGTTTGCTTCAGCTCCCTGAGCAGCACACTGGACAGGAAAGCCACCTGGAAGAGATCCTTGTCGTTGCTTGATGCGGTCCTGGGCCGGCATCTGCAGCTTGGGAACAGTTTTCTGCACAATACCGCCTGCAGCTCATGCGCCAGGGTGGCGCGATGGGAAAGTGCCGTCGAGGCGCAAGCAGGTATCGTGAAACATCGTTTACAGCTGGACGTCGTGGGCTTCACAGCGGTGATGAGCGCAGTTGATGCACCGAGCTGGCGACACATACTAGTTCTGTTGAAGACTGCATACGCGTCTGGCATCGAACCCAACAGTCTAGCGTTCAATGCTGCTGGTGATGGCCTTGCAAAAAGCCGACACTGGGACGCTGCATTTTCCCTGTTGGACGTGATGCATACCCTTCGCATGGAGATGGATGTGTTCACATGCAGCCTAGTCTGGACCGGATATCGTCTCTCCGGCAAGTTGGCCACAGGCTTCCTGCTGCAATCCCTGCATAGCGATTTGAAGCCAAACAGGGTCTTGCTGTCAAGCGCGATCACGTTATGCAAAGAATGCTACCAGTGGACATCGGCATTGGACATTCTGAGCTCCATGCGAAGAGCCTATGCGCAGCCTGATCTGATAAGTCACAGTGATGCTATTGGAGCATGTTGCGTGCCTTCTTGGCAGGTTGCTCTCAGCTTGTGGCTGCAGATGCCTGCTCAGCTGGTGGAGACAGATGTGGCTTGCACTGCTCAGATATTGCAGACTGCCGTTCAGCAGCAATCCTCCTGTGCACCAGAGCTTGCTGACAAGCTTGATGCCTGCGCAACCTCGCAGTACGCAGCATCGCGGGCGTAGCTGGAACCAGCGGTGGATGTGCCGTGAAGTGCCGATTGTTGAAACCTTGCAAAGCTGCTACTGTGAAAAGTAAAGTCCTTGCCGGAATCTTTTGCATTATTAACTTTTACAAGCCACTACATCCAGACATGTCTGGGCCGGTTGTTGCCGTCCATCTTCCGGCCTTAACTTGTATGGTATACGGTCTTCCTGAATATGCTGAGGGGTACAGCGGCATGGCCTGGGCCCTTCAAGACTCACTTCGGGGTAGCGTCCTAATGCAAAACACGAGTAAGGAGGGGCATTGTCACATGCGCTGTAGCTTCTTTGCAGGTGTTGCACGTTTAGTTGGGGATTCAGGCTTCCCAACAACGCGGCCACTGCTTGTTGCCTGCTTTGAGTGCATGTAGATGAGGTTTGGGGGACGCGGCTGAGTGTGTTTTCGGTGGTGCGAGTAGATGGGATTTGGAGTTTGGGGGATGCGGCTTCTGTTTTTCGCTTGCTTGGAGCAAGGGCTCGGTGGTGCTACATGGGGGGAAGCGCTGTTTCGGCTCTGCCTTGGCCTTCTCCGTAACAGATGCTGCTCTCAAAGGTTTCACCATTCCACGATCGTTTATGCCTTCCGCATTTAACAGATGCTGCTTGCCGATGGCAGGCTGGAGTCCGCTGGCATTCCTGAGGACCAGCTCGGTGCGCAGGGGTCTCAGGGGTGAGACTTCAGTACCACTGCAATACAACAATCGACATCACAATAATCATCCTTAGTCTCATCAGACTGTCAGTAGCATTGCCTCTGCAATACCAGACATCCACGGCCAGTGACGACACAAGATCGTAGAAGACGGAGGAGGCAGGAGGGGAAGGTGAAGGAGGTGGAAGAGGAGGAGGAGGAGGAAGGCGAGGACAGTCACAACAGACTGTAGCAAGATGGCAGTACTCCTCCCGCTTTTATCTTTAGTCGTGGTAGTCGTCGTCGTCGTCGTGGTGTGGTGGTGGTGGTGGTGGTGGTGGTGGTGGTGGTAAGAGAAGGAGTAGGAGACGAGTACCAGTACTAGTACTAGCAGTACTAGTAGTCCTGCTAGTCGTACTGGCAGTACTAGCAGTACACGCAGCACAAGAAATTCGAGTGGAAGTAGGGTTGATATTGCAAGAAAATGATACCCCAAATGTACACACTACAATATTGCTACCAAAATCCACTATCTACAACCCTCATAATGTAGGCATGGCTTCGGGATTCTCTGAAATCGCGTCCCTGAATCCCCCAACGCAGTGGGCTACCCAACTACCCTTAAAGGGACCAAATTCTCGGGGGCTGTGTACCTTCGCAACAAAGATCGAACCTTGTGATTGTGGCATAGGGTTGCATATACTCAATGTACCCAGCTCCTACGTCCTACGCCTTTTTAGAGAGTCCTTCACGTATAACCTTCCCGCCGGGTTGCGCGGCTTCTTTGGCAAGCTGAAGCTTAAGCTTCTGGACAGCCTCTCGACTCAAAGCATCTAAGGTTGAGGCTGTCCATGACACATTACTTCGTGCTCTCTTATGGATAACCAAGAGGCACCTGGCCTCGAACGTACACGCATTCGGCTAGCATCTATGCTGGAGCCGAGGAATCAATCACCCTGACCAAGCAGAATGCCAAAACAACGAGGACGCACAGAACGAAGTTCGACACGTGCATGCATGCGCACGGCTCTATGTGTTATTCTTGGCTTGGTTGAGCTCCGACATCGGTCTGCACATGCTTCAGCCGCTGTGAACTGCAGTATGTCCGCATGTCTGAATGCTGTAGATGATAGATGCGACGTATTACTGTACTACTTGGATTCCGGGAAGTGCAACAAAAGTGTTAACTGCCATACGTCGGCGCTTGCCACCAGCCATTAGTACTTCTGGGCTGCACAGTACTGGTAGCTTACGTCTCCAACTACCACGACCATTACCGCATTCACCATATTCGGGAGTCGGAAGTAGAGAGAGGCCTTTCATCTTGGAATGTTGCAAAGACAACTGCCCGCAATAGTGTTCAATCCGATACCCCAAGGTCAGGTTGGACAGATAGGACTTTAGCCGTGCCTACATTCGAAACCTGCACCCTCAGCCCTCGAAATCCCCAGAAAACTAAGGCCTGCACCAAGCCCGCGCCCAGATGACACACTTCATGACTCTGACCGGCTAAAGGGCTGCAAACAAACTAAAGAACTAAGTCTTGAAGACACCTCTGAAAACTGAACGAAGAACAAACAAATTCGGAAGCCCTACACCTCTGACTCCGGACTTTCGAATCATACTTAGCCTTGGTCCCACTGCGTCTTCGCGTTGCTTCCTGGACTTCCGGCTATGTCGGATCCGTTCGGGCTTAGGGGAGTTGGCCAGCATCAGGGACCCAAAAACTTCAACCCCAAGGCTGTTGTAGGGCCTAATTAAGGTTTAGGGTTTAGGGGTTTTCGAGGGTTAGGGTTTAAGGATTTGTGTATGCAGAGTAGGGCCAAGGGCAACTCCTCTAATATGGCCATGTAAAAGGACTCCCTAAACCTTACCTGTAGCCGGAAAGACCCACCTTTTTAGGGTTCCTTCTTATGGTTTCTATAGATAGCTCCTTAAAAAGGTAGGTCTTTTCGGTTACAGGTAAACCTACACCCAAGGTTCAAGCGGCGGGGATGCTGGTCGCAGAAAACCTGGAGCCAACGGCCCTTGCTGCAAGGGCCGCAAGATGCATAAACCCTATTACAGGTGACCTTACTTATCAGAGGGGGGTTAAGGGTTTAGGGTTTAGGGGTTTAGGGGTTTGGGGGTTTGGGGGTTTAGGGGTTTAGGGGTTTGGGGTTTAGGGTTTATTATAGTATAAACTCTCTTGGGAAGCCTGAAGAAATCTCGGTATCTATTTAGGCTTCCACGCTCTTGCAGTCCGCACAAGCAAACGAGAGGGGGGCTTGTTGGGATCTGAGGTAGTACTTCTGCAATCGTGGGCTCTACATCTTTGCCTTCTTTGCTGTGAGGAGCACAGTTCGAGGTTTGAGACGCTTGTTTAGGGAGCCTGTAAAGGAGAACAAAAAGAACAACCCAACAATAACTTAGGGTGCCGGGTTTACGGGTCCTTAAACCCTCAACCCAAAGTCGAGAAGTGGGGTCAGGGCGATCAGCTTGAGAATCCTATGCAGGGTCATTTTCCGATGTTTCGCCCGTAGGATACCATCAAGCCCTGATAAATCAAGCACCCCTTCGATCCCAGCTGTCGTGCTTGTGTGTCTTCATCCCAAGCCCTAAGCCCGGGAAGTGTCCTAGCCGAAGGCCCCTGCCGCCAAACATCCCTCACCCATTCTACAAACCCTCATCTGATTCCGCTGGGACACGAAAGCTTAAGCCCAAAATGGCAGCTTTACTAGGTTCCCCAGTGGCCCCTGAATAGTAAGGGTACCCTTTATTTTTTCTACTGTTTGGCTTTCATGAGGGAACCCAAAAAGAAAAGGCAAAAGGGTACTACTGGGGAACCTAGCTTTAGTGTAAGCCCAATGAAGGGAAGCGCCAGTCTTAAGCTATAGCCCGAACGCCGCCCATAGCCCAAAGCTCCCAAGTTACTGTGACAATCCCCCCCCCCCCAACAGCAAATTCCCCTAAACCCTAAACCCTAAACCGTTAATTCCTAAACGAAGTTCCCGAAGCCCTCAGCGACCTTAGACCCTAAACCCCAAAGCCCCTAAACAACATTTTTGTTTAGGGCTATTAGGGGTTCTTGCTTTCTTTAGGGGTTTAGGGTTTAGGGGTTGTTTAGGGTTTTGGGTTCCAAGCCAAAGCTGATACGTCCAAGTTTCTTCAAGGCGCTGCAGGAAAGATAGAGCCAGTCGGGGGTCCTGCGAAGGGTTTAGGGTGTAACAACCTGCCTTGCGAGGGTCTGTGTGCGTGCCCTCGACGGTGGTTCCGGTAAGCCAAGGTTTGGAGTCAAAACAGGGGCTTAGGTGTGGTGAGACATGGAGTCCAGAACAAAAGAGGGTCTCAGTTCTGTGACGTGTGGTCTGCCAACTAAAGGGTTTCGGGTTTAGGGTGAAAAAATGGCTAGTTGTGTAACTTCCTCCATACCATACGCCGTTCGACGGGGGCCTGTAACCAAACACCCCAGCCCTAGCCAAAACCCCAAACCCAACGCTAGACCCGACCCCAGCCAAGAAGAAGTGCAACTCCCAAAGCCTAAGCCTTTCAGCCCTCAACCGACCTGGTGGGACTCACAGTTCTGTCAAAAGCATCCTGAACAACGAAACATCACAGCTCCCTCCTGGACGGCAGAGATGCACACTTTCTTTGGCTTGCCTGCAGTCAATACTCTCAGAATTATGTTGGACGCTTGACGCCTGTGCTGCTTTTCAGTACTCTTGCGAACGTCATAACTAACATTACGACTGCCTCGCCCTTGCAACTGCAACCACGACGACGACGGACTACGCCTACAACTACGACTGCGACCACGACCACGACTACGAGCAGCAGCAGCAGCAGCAGCACCACCACCACCACCACCGCCACCCCCACCCCCACCACCACCCCCACCACCACCACCACCACCACCACCACCACCACCACGACGATCCGTCCCAGCAGCAGCACTCGAGCGTGGTGAGGTGACGTGTAGTTTTGGTCACTTGTTTTGTCGATGTGGCCTCTACTTCGAGGTTGTGCCGCACATCGCGCAACGCACCTTCGCGAGCAAGGAAGCCCTGCAGGTCCCGGGTACAATGTGCATGGCCACAGGATTTAAGCAAGTTTAGGGTTTTAGATACGTTTGGGAGTTTCGGGAGAACTACAAGCATGTACGTTCATGTATACATTCATAAACATACACTTTGTAATTGTTAAGCCCGGTTGAAAGTATTACCGCTAATCTTCCGAAAGTACGCAAGACCCTGTGCCACAAAGGTTTCGGGTTTTCAGGTGATCCGGTTTCGATGTGAGAGTATCGATAGCATGTAAGCCTACTCATATGCTGTCAGCGCTGTCGGTTTGGCGACTTTGGGTCAGGACTTTG